GAGGATTTCAAGAATGGACGTGAATTGATCAAAGTGGTATGGGATGCTCTTACCGGTAAGGTTTATTGGTCCAACGCTGTCGTCTGTGTTTATTTCATCTCTGTTGATCAGCCCATCAAGATGCTGTAGAGCTAGCTAATATTTTGCATCGCGATGCCAGCACAGGGAATATCATACTTGTCGAGTTTACAGCGAGGACATCGAGTGGTAAAGTGGCACCATACCGAGTGGGGTATCTGAGTGATTGGGAATTTTCGCGCCCTCTCGAAAGAGATGCCCATGCGAAGGGTGCTCGACAGCCTGACAGAACAGTGAGCTGTATGATTATCTTTTTATTTTGACGATCGAATGACGGTGAAGTGAGCAGGGAACCTGGCAGTTCCGCTCTGTATCCCTGTCAGACTTTCCAGATAAGCCGGTAGAGATCCAGGACGAACTAGAATCATTTCTCTACATCATACTGTACAACGCGATAAGATATCTTCCACACAACTGCCAAAATGTCAGCCGATTCATGCACGAATTCTTCGACGATTTTCAGTACGTCAATGGCCAGTACAAATGCAATGTTCAAAAGCGGGTTGCTATGATGTCTGGCAAAATTCTCGTCGACGGGCCGCATCTGCTCAAGTTCACGAGTCAAATACTGCAGGGACACCCCATAAACAATTTGATTGAAGAGCTTCTTTTGTGGTTTAAAGCACGATATCAAGTCGCGGAAACAGCGGATGTCATTGAATCCTCTCGCCTTTTGATACCAGGAGACTCTGCGCAGGGTGAAGAGGAGGAGGACATCTTCATGGCGGGCCTTCGAGACCAAGGCGTCCCAAGCCCAGATGTTACCAACGCCCCCGAGCCTTCTGAGCGATCAGAGCTCCGGGATATAGAGAAGGACAAAGCTGTAGCTGCCAATCTACAAGACCACACTGCCATGGCTACGCTGCTACGACGTCTTTTCCACCAAACCGGATGGCCGTTAGGAGACAAAGTGCCTGACCAGTTACAGCGTAACTACAACTACGTCAAAGAGGAAGCATTTGGGCTGACAACTTCGCTGAAACGGACGGCCGACGAGTCCTTTGGGACAACCGCCTCTTCCTTTAAGCGTCCGAGGACATCCTGTCGTGATGAAAACGATGTGATATGCGATGGAGATGAAGAGCGACTTATCTCCAGTCTAGCAGCCAGTGACGATCCGTTCCTTCGTCGTTAATCCAAGGCGCACACCGTACCTTCCCTTATACATAGATCGTTACTACTTCACATTTATTCATACATTTATCCTATCCCAAGTCCAACTGAAAGCTCTTGCGCGTGAGTAGCCACATTGTCCAAGTCTGCTTCCTTGCATTCATCCAAGTCATTGTTTTTGTGCCAAGCATTGCTCTGCACATCCTTGAGCAGACATGGGAAGAACTAGCAAAGGTGAGAGAGAAATACCTATGGTGGATTGAATATTTAGCAAGACATCATGAACTTTGATCCCCCATGAATTCCACATATACTGGCCTGTGCATCAGGAAAACCCCCCCAGCCTACTTATATCTAATTTAGAGCTAACAGTCAGATAATTTTCCCTCATTGTACTATTTCCAGCTAATGGACACATAATTTGGATAATGTTTCCCTAGCCACCAGTTGTTAAGGGACCTAATGACTGAGGATCAGGAGTTCAGCTTATGACTGTTACTGATACTTATACATGTAAGGTTGATGTGTTATACTGAGACTAGACTTGTAAACTGAGCTGCTATAGCTAATAGTAGTTTGAGAGCATATACTGATTGAAGCTGGGCTTCAGACTTGAGACTAGAATAGACAACTGAGTCTATTACTGAAGACATCCCTATGAAGTGTATGTTAAGGGACCTAACAACTGAGGATCAGGATCAACTGTTAACTGGTACAAGGACTTATACATGCTATTGTCCTACACTGATACTAGACTTGTAAACTGAGCTGCTATAGCTGATAGTGGTTTGAGAGCGTATACTGGTTAAAGCAGGGCTTTGGACTGAGACTAGGATTTGAATAGACAACTGAGTCTATTACTACAGAACTGTCCCTATGAAGTGTACATAGA